GCACGAAGATTAATTCCTGGTAACTCTTAGGCCAATGCTGCTCCATAGGAGTGGAAAATGAATAGTAAGCTTGTGTGAGAGAGCCAGAGGCATATTTATATTGACGTTTAATTTAAAAGAAATTGATGATCTGAAATTGTAGCCAAGAAAACAAATTACTCCTCCTGGTTGTGAAATGGGCTCTCCTGAAAATAACCTAAGCCGTTCTACGAATATGCACTTGATGCCTTTAGTGCCTCAGTTCCTACGTGTTTAATATTACAATATTAATTATAAGTCCTGCTCCTTTTTCATCTGATAACCAAACAGAGTTTGAGGTTCTGCACGTTATTTTGGGCAGCTGAACAATAACACAGACATGCTTATTTGCTGACAATAAAATAAGTCTTGCTGTCATGACCAGGGAGGAAGGAGTCAGGTAAACCAGAGCCTTGTTCTGTGGACATTGCACTTTTCTCATTCACTGCTTTTCCTTGAAATGCTATTTCGTAGCTTTTCAGAAACCATGCGTGAGTTTCTCTTCACCTCCTTGATGCTACTTTTGCTCTTCTTTACAAACACAGTACAACAATTGCAAACGTTTCTGAATGCCTTAGTATTTGGTGGTGGTATTTTCTCAACTGTCTCAGCAGCTATCCTAATGAAAAGAAGCAATTGAGTACACCAGAATCAGTGATGTTTAGCCTTTTCTATAGTAATATCTCAAAAGTGTAAGATCTCAAACAAATACTTGTGAATGTTTTTCTCATAGAGATTGAAGCAGGCATGGAAAATATTGTGTGTGTTCTCAGAAGGTAGTATATGTATAGCATGGGAAAGGGAATAAAGAAGAACAACTGTTTCATGTAATGAGTTGCTATAGATGCTATAATCAATGTATTTAATGAAGTATTTCTGCATCTCTGAAACCCTTCAATGTAGTTGAATTAAGTAGCATTGTCTGTGTATTCCTTACTTCATGCAAGTAGTTTCTTGAAAACACAAAAGAAAAGTCTAAAAAAGATTTCAGAAATGAACCTGAGTTCCTACATGTGCTGTAGCCATCTGATGTATTCTTTTCCAGAGAGCACTTTGGGATAAATCCAATAAGAAGCTTTAGTGACTGCAAGCAAGATGCTTATCACAGCTTACCTGTAGCCTGGATTTCCCCCCCCCCCCCACCCCCCCCCACCTTCCTCAATCCTTGATGTTCAGTTTGCTTTCTGTAGTGCTCCTCTGACATGAAGACTTAAGGGAGGATGCCTTACCAGGCAACAATAGCCCATCTCCTGGATGCCTTTATGAATGTTGCTGTGCATTAGTTTGATCAAACCTCTGGGGAAGAATAGCTTCTGTTTATCTAGCTTTCATTATCTAAACAGAGATTGACTTGAAATGTCAGAGTTAGATGGACAGAGTGCAAGAGGCAGAAGGACTTTCAGACAAAAATTGAATGTCTTTCATACAGTGGGATGATGTACAGGGAGAAAGAGGGACTGGATCACACAGGTAACCTGTGGTATGCAAATTCCACTTAAATCCTGCTGTGGGTGCCTGCATCTTCAGAGATGGCTGAAAGCACTTAGCTAGCCTCTAATGGGCCTTGCACAGGTAGATGTATGTGTTAAACTCACTGTACTACTGGAGCTTTTAACTGAGTTGTAACTGAGAGCAGAACTTAAACTGCTTACAGTGCACAGCACAACACACAGCCTGGCTTATGAAGTTATTTTTGTGCATGTGCACAAAAGAGACATGAAAGCCCTATGAGCTGGCCTTTGTTGAGATGCACTGGTCTTACATTAAGAGACAATAAAGGCGTCGCACTCTGCCACTGGCCTATTGCATAACAGGATCAGACATTTTAATGAGCTTCTGCTAGTCAGTGGTTCATCAGCTCTGCTGACTTGTAATGAAGCAGGACGCTGCTATAGAAACCACTCCACCAAAAAGCATTTTTGAATGTACTTAAAAAGATAAGTTTGAATTCAAGTGCAAATACAATGTGGATCAGTCCATCTCTTTCTGAATTGTAGCTGCTTCTTTACTTTCTTGTCCATGTTACAGTTTAATCCTGTTTAAATTTAAGTTCATAGAGGTGCATTTTGTATTCTGTTTCACAAAGCATCCTTTTAATCCCCATTCCTCCCAGTACTTATGTCTTTCTTAATCCCACTTTTTTATTAGTATTATTTTTTTTAGCAAAGAATAACAAAGAGTAAAGGATAAAAAAAGAATTTCTAAATTTCTCTATTCATTTATTCTATAAACTATGTTTATAAAAGAAATACGACAAATTTTAAGAATAATGATCTATATCACAAAGAGGAACAGCTATGAAATACCAAAACCAGTTTGGTTTTTTTACAAACTTGTAAGGCAAAGTGAATCTCCAGATCATTCCATCAATTAGATTCAACCCAGACAAGGAAATTATAAGTATGAAAAATAAACAGAAAACTCTTCAAGGAATTTCAGTCTTAAAATTTCAGTTACTGTCAAAAACCAAATATCAACTACAGGTTATTTATGGTAAGTTTGCTCAAGAGAGCACAAGAAATGCTTGATGTCCCCGACTGTGTCTCTTAAGAACCAAAATCTGCAGTGGGATTGCAGTTTTTTCCTTACTAAATCCTACCTACCTACTACCTTGGTGTGAACCACTTTGAAAAGGTTTGATTCTTGTCACTGTGGTTTAGGTAGTCTTATGTTACACTGAATTGGTGCATTATGAATAAAGAGCGGTGTTAGGCTACTTTTTATAAGGTAAAGTTTGCTCTGATTCTGTTGCCTGAAAGCATCTCATAAAGACTTCTCTGTTTTTGACCAGCCTGTTAAAACATAAACAAAACCCAGCCCATGATACACAGCAAAGCACTCGGGAATTTCTCATTTGAATAACACCAACTTCAGAAACAGCTGCTAAGATCAAATAAACAAAGGGAATTCGGCAACACCCATCCCATCCATTATCTTTTAAAGCTGCAGGAACTTAATCCTTCCCATGAGCAATGCCTGTTGTCTCACTTGCTGTTACAATTAACATATTGTATTCTGTGTAATACTACTTCCTTCTAAGAATGCACGTGCTGCAGTGTAGAAGTCCAAAGTTTCTGCAATTAAGCAGAATCATGAAATGAAACAAACATACATATATTGCACTGCGAGGATTTATTTCCTATGAACTAAACTCTAAAAAGAAGGCGTCATTAAAAATATTTATAATTGTTACTGCCAAACCAACAACCGGTATTTCTGCAAACACTGGGAGCATGCTGCCTACACAGCAAGGATTGATCAGTGTAGCAGCCTTGTAATAATTGTTCTCTATCTGCACAGTGAAGTAATCATGGTCTGCCTATGTAAAAGAGAAATGGCCTTAATTCCAGTCCCAATAATGAGAGTACATTCCATTCCCGGGAGCTGAGTTTTGATGAGAACTTCGAAAGACTGGTTTTGACCTTATTTTTCATTCTCAAGCTGAACTTCGAGAATCTGAAATGTTGAAAGCAGAAGATTCTGGAAGCAGAAAACGATGTGTTTAGGAAATGTAATGGGGTCACAGCTGTGTTTGTGGCAGGAGAACCTTTGGATTCATTTTCTTTTGAGATTTCATCCCTTGTTGCATGCCACAGGGCATCACTGTCCTCTTTGTCATTCTGTCAAGGAAAATGCTAATTACCCGTGATACAGCCAGTATCCTGCTACCTCCTTTTTACACTGACCATGGATAATGCTCATCAATATTTGCCGGCCTGGGTGAATAGCTGAGTTTATAAAAGGGTATGTAATCATACAGTTAAAAAATAAGTATTGTTTGTCCTAATTGCTTCAATTTTTTCTTTGATGGTAGCTTCCAGATTGATACTGTGAGTATGCACATGCATGATCACAGAATTTGATGTACTTGGATTTGAAGGTATGAAGAAAAATCACTAAAGATGTGAGTGAAGGCTGCAGTCTTGCAAACCTTGTAATGACGGTAATCATCTGCTATGGATCATGACTATTCAATTAATTTTTCTGAGTTCTTTTGGGTAATTTTATTAAGATCCTCATGGATTTCATGAAGTAATGCTGGATAATGTAATCTTGCAATTCGCTCTGTAGGGGTGAAGGGGGTCGTACAGGCTGTAAAATTATAAACATGGATCCTTAAAGGCTTTTTTCCGACTCCAGAATCTTTCAAACAAAATTTTTATATTTATAAGCAAAGAAAAATCTGGTCAAATAAAAACACGTGGAGGTAAAGACCTGTAGGACTTCTTCGTTCCTCTGATTAGTCTTGTAAACTAATTAGACTAATCACACTCACAAGATAGTGATGGTATACAGCAGGTTGTACACGACTGGGTTTGTGGTTAATCAACATTTTCTTTTGCAATAGCAGAGTGAATATGCTAACTGATGTTATCCAGCACACGATGGAGTCGCACCGAGGGAGGCTGGGACTGGATGTCAGGACAGAAAGGATCTCCTCCGGACAGGGCGACCATATGGTGCGTCCCCATTCCTGCAGGTGTTTAGGAGACGCGTGGCACCGAGGCACACTTTTTAGGGTTGGGATTCAGTAAGCCAGCGTTCAAATGCGTTTTTCAGACGAGCCGGTCCCAACACAGCACAACGAAACACTAAGTACACTCTGCTGTATGGCAGCAGACGACGTTCCGCGCACGGCCCTGCCCCGGGGCGGTCCGTCACGTAGCAGCCGTCCGCTCTGCCAGCGGCCCCGGCCCGCCAACAGGTGTCCCGCCCCGAGCAGGTGCGGCGCGGCCCGCAGGGGCGGTGCGGACCCGCGGGGAGGTCTCCTAGCAACCGCCCGGCCAATGGGAGCGGCGCTGGGGGCCGGCGCGGGGTCGATGCCGCGGCAGCTGCGGGACGCGGGGCCGCGCGGAGCTGGCCCGGGAGCCGGTCCCTCCTCCTTTCTTCCGTCCCTGCTCGCCGCAGCAGGTGGTGCTACGCGGGGCTCCTCCTCCTCCTGCCCCTTCTCACCGGCGGCGCGGGTAGGCGGGCGCGACGGGTAACGGGCGCTGGGCGGCCGTTGGTGACAGCGGGGCGGTCGCGCCTCGCCTCGGCTCTGGGCTGCCCGCGGGGGAAGCCGCTGCCGACCGCTGCGGTGTGGAGGGCGCTCCTTGGCGGGCCCGGGCTGACCCGTGGGGCTGAGGGAAGCTCGTCCCTGGAAGGCAGGCCCGGCGCCTTGGCGGTGTCCGCAGGGCGGCGAGCAGCGACCGCGGGAGGTTGGGAGCCCTGGCGGCTGTGCGCGGTGGGAGCGGGGCTCTGCGGGAGGTATTGACTGTGTGGCTTTGGCTTGCTTGCGTGTTTCGTTTAAAAAAAAAAAAAGAAAAAAAACAACAAAAATTGTGTTTACAGCGAGACTCCGTTCAATTTGAGGGTCGAATTGTAACACGGGATGCGCTCGTAGTGTTGCTGCAGCCCCCGTTTGCGCAGAGCGCTGTGCTGTGATGAGGTGGTTTCGCAGGGCTCCGTGTGCTGCCAAGTATGATAGGAATTCGGGATTTTCAGGGGAATGACTCAAATCGGGAGGCGTGCAGAATGAAACGTGAATGTGCGAGGTAAACGTCAGTAGTAAGCTTGAAACGGGATTTGATGCCGTTGATGATGGTTTCGGAAGAGTAGTGGGGGAGAAAAACGTTCTTTCTGTTCTGGGAGAGAAAAAGCGTAGTATCAGTCATTGGCTGGACTGGAGAGGGCACTGGAGGCTATCCCAGGTTCCTTGGGTTCGGCTTGTCTCTGAAAGCAGCTGGCAGCAGATGCTAAGGAAAAGACGATCAGCAGAGGCTGCTGAGCAGCGATGTCTGTCAGTGTCCTCCCAGCGCACTGCACTGTGGAGCTGAAGGATTTCCGAGCAGAGCTTGCTCCTCTTCTTACATTCATTAGCTTTTGATGTGTGCCTTTCGTATGATTTTAGCCTGCTTATGTAGTGATGTGAGTCTGTGATTTAACAGTGCTTCTTTTCCAGCTTTCATGTTTAATGTTTCATTTTATTCTGCATAGCTGCTATGTTAAATGAAGTGATAATTTTTTTCTTTACATGTTTCTGTACATATTTTGTCCTATTTCTCTAGCTATTCCAGAGGAAAAGTCACTGCTTATTAATTTCTTGTATGGAAGCATTGGCTGACCTTCTTCCACCACTTGTTTTCTGCATTTTGTATAGGGAAGCTCATAATGATGTGTGCTATTTCAACTGAGGAAGCTCAGCGTTTGTATGAAACCATTATGATGTTCATTTTTTTTCTGTCCTGGGCTCCAATGTTTTATTAACTGCCTGTGAGCTGCTACTTCCAGAGGAGTAATCACAGTGACTCTGTGATCTCTTGCGTGATAATGCTTAACTTAGAGCCAGTTGATTTAAGTACATAGCTGAGTCGGTGTTGTGGTTTTTTTTTCTTCCTAATAATAATAATAGGTCACAAACATGGATTTTTATTACCATTTGTGTAGTATGCATACAACCTTTTGGGGTTCTTATCATTCGATCCTGCATTTTATTTTTCTGAATAACTCTGTACCATGAGTAAATTTTCTCACTGACCCTCCCAGCACCTGTGAAAGTTCTCCCAACAACAGATCCCATTTGTGACTTAATTTTCTTTAGGGCTTTCATATAACGCTTATACGATACTTAAAGAAGGAAGAAGGGGAAAATATACAACTCTTTCCTACCATTTCTCCTTCTCCATGAATAATCAGTCATTAGTAAATCCCCTGGCATCACTGCTTCAGAGCTTTTGGTAGGGAACATTGTGAAAAGCTTTTTGGAAATCCAGTTATACTTTCTTGCCCAGGCATGTTGACTGATTCCTTCTTTCAGGGCACTGTAGCAGACTTGTTAATGTTTCTTCTGCATTAAGTTATGGTGACACTTCACCAGTCATATTTACTGCCAGCTAACATCTGCTCTGTGACTCGTGTAGCCTACAGGGCAACCGTTCTTTGAATCTGCTGGCATTCTGTAGAGAAGGTAGTTATGTTGATGATGTGCCATTCATTTTACCTGCCACCTGTTTTACCGTACAGGTTACGTGCTACTGAACCTTGTGAATTGCATCATTTCCGAGAGCTGGAATGCTGAGATCTGGCTCTGCCCTGTAAATATTATCAGCTTTAGGAACTGGTCAGACTTGCACTCCTTTCCCTCTCTTTTTGCTTTCTGCTTGCAGACAGCGAAGTTATGGTTAATGTTGAGTTCAGGAAAAGGAGGAACTACAGAAGACAGAGTTCCTGAGGCTTTTTTAGGCACTCATGATATGGGAAGGCCTTGTAGCTGGAATAGAATATCCTGCTATGTGTACAAATGATTTTTTATTTCAACAGAGGAATAAAATTCAGAAGATTAACAGAAATAGATCTATTCTTTAACAATAGGGAAAATCTTACAAAGATCCATAGTATTGGCTCAATGTGGGGTAGGACTTTGGGAGTCAGATGAAATATTTCCACGTGTTCCAATTTTTTTCAGAGGTTGCACTGATATCATTATATGCATATTGAAGGTAGAGCTGAATGTTGAGATGGTAGAGAAGTCCTTGTAACCTGAGTGTTTGGGACAAAGGCAGTAAGAGAACATTTGTCCAACATCACATTTTATCAGCTCTAAGGGTATGTTTTTGTGTGGTTTTACTTATTGAATATCAAAGAAAAAAATTATCCTTACAACTTTTTCATGACTCATTAAGTAAAATAGATCTGAAAAATGTAGGTAAGGGATCTTCCATGCTGCTGTGCTCATAGTGAAGAAGACTCAGCAGTACTCACAGGCTGAGTGGTGGGCTTACCTGTTGAGGTTACTTTTGACAATACTGATAAGTTTAGTTGGAAATTTGACACATATTAAATAAATGTTCTCTTTGAATCTAAATAAGTGGAAGGACGCACCCTTTTGTGCCTCCCTGCCTCTTCTTTCTTTCTTTTTTTAATTGCCACAGTACTGTAAGTGCAGGGAGGAAATATCTGGATCTGCTTTGGTTGCAGGACCTGTCATTGAAATTGCAGGATTAACGCAAGTCACTACGATTGTAATAGGTTTCTGCAGGTAAAGGAGCTCTTTCAGATACACAGTTACCATCAAATCTGAGCTATGTTATAGTGCTAATTATCAACTTTGTTATTAAAACAGCCATAGAGAGAGAATATTTATCAAAATTTTAGGGAAGAGATGGATGGACCTTCAAGGCAATTGCATGAATAAAATAAGCGTGTTTCTTGTGACATTATCTCAGATACATTTGTAAACCTATAATGTGATGACTAGTATGCACCTTAAATTTACATGGACTGTTATGTCTTTGATTTATCTGGATAAAAGCCATCTGTTTGGCATCCGTGGATTACTAGACAAATGTAATAGCCTTAAGCAGATTCACAGCTCAGCTTGGGATGTTACTGTAATTAGAAGGAATCATGTTGCCTTTTAAGTAAAAACTAACTAATGCTTTAATTTTCTTTCATTTTTTTAAAGTCAAAATCTGTGTATGTGTTGAAACTTGTAGTACTTATATGGAAGAGAAATGTTTGGTTGATGCTTTTTGGTTGATGCTGACTCGCATTTTTCCATGACATTGTAACACTGAGAGATGAGGAGAGCTCTTTTCAGATTGCCTTCACTTATCCACCTTAACTTAGGGAAAAAAGCTTTCTCGGTTACCAGATAATGCGTTTTTTCGTGTGTTGTAGAATCTTTTGAGTTGGAAGTACAGCTGGATCAGGTGCTTAGAGCCCCATCCAGCCTGACCTTGAATGTCTCCAGGAATGGAGCATTCACTACCTGTCTGGGCAACCTGTGCCGGTGCCTCACCACCCTTATTGTAAAAAAAACCTTCTTCCTTATGTCCAGTCTAAATCTCCCCTCTTTTAATTTGAAACCATTTCCCCTTGTCCTGCTGAAACAGACCCTGTTGAAGAGTCTTTTCCCTTCTTTCTTACAGCCTGCCCTGAAAGGTTACTCTCAGAGCTCCCTGGAGCCCTTCTCTTCTCCAGGCTGAACAGCCTCGGCTCTCAGCCTGCCCTCATGTTTCATCCCTGGATCACTCTTGTGACCCTCGACTGCTCATGCTCTGAACAGGTATACATCTGTCCTGTACTGAGGACTCCACATCTGGATGCAGTACTTCAGATGTTGTCTCACCAGCACATTGGAGAGGAGCAGAATCATCTCCCTTGCCCTGGTGACCATGCTTCTTTTGATGCAGCTGAGGATATGGATGGCTTTCTGGGCTACACATGCATGGCTCATGCCCATCTGCCACCCACCAGTATCGCCAAGTCCTTTTCAGCTGGACTGTTCTCCATCCTTACATCCACCAGCTTGTACTGATTGCCCAAGTGCAAGACCCTGCACTTGGATTTATTGAACCTGTTAGAGTTCTGGAGCACATCTAAGTCTCTCTGAATGACAACCCGTCCCTCAGGCATGTCAGACCGCACCACACATCTTGGTGTTGTCTGCAAACTTGCTGAGGGTGCACTCGATTGTGCTGTTGATGTCATTGATGAAGATGTTAAAGCTCCCAGTACCGACTCCTGAGGGACATCACTTGTCACTGATCTCCATCCAGTCACTCTTACACCTGTGCAATTTAGAGATGACCAGGTGGTGTAATGTGATCATGGTACATTGCTATTACAAGCTTTTCTCTCCTTATACAGAGTTGCCCGAAAGAATTTTATAAACTCAGATACTCCTACTTGCTTTCAAGTTTTAAAAACTATATTCGGATTTTTGGAAGTATACTGTGATGTATGAAGTTTATAATCCTAGTGCTTACTGCTTGTGGGTTTTGGAATTTGACAGTCTGAACTTAGGCTCACTTTATCTGATTTGTCTTGAATCTTGGCACAGTTGTTGACAGTCCTTCCCCTGCACCCCAGAGCACAAAACAGTGATTTTAAGAACCACTTTTGCTTCTCTATTTGTAGTGTAGCTTTCAAAGTTCAGAGTAAACTTACCTTGAAAAGAAAGATGCACGGTAATGAATCACGTAAGAGTTCATAGGGCTATACCTGTGGGCTTTTTTAAATATTAAAAAAAGTCAGCAAAGCTTCAGCTGCATTTACTAGGATTAAATTCTAGTATATTATCACGATAGCTTTAAGTTCTAGGATTTTTTTTGTGTGTACTTTCCTGCTAGTGATTCTTTGTTTGATTCTTGATATTAATCAAGCTCTCTGTGAATTTTTGTGTGTGTGTATATTGGTGGAAGGAGGAGGACACTTTGTTTCTTTGTTTTCTTTTCAGATTTTCAGCTTTTGTTAGTTGCAGTGGGATGGCTCTGCCACTCTGTTCAGCCATGTGAAATTGGCCCCCAGATCCTCCAAGGTCTTGTTCATCACTGGAACAAGTGTCACTGCCAGTAGGCAAAGTAGTGTCTGGCAGGCACTGGGTCGTTACAGATATTTGGGTGAGTCACTTCCCTTGTCAGTGAAATAGCTGCATAGGCAGAATGGGCGCAGAAAGAAAATCATTAAGTAGTTACAGTAGCTTGGGCTGTTGAGAGACTTGTTCTTTTCTCTTCTCTCCCACCCATAGATTTTTAGGTTCAGTGTGAGATTCTGGGAAACAGCAAATGTTGATTTATTTTTATTTTTATTTTTTTAATTTTTAATTTTATTTTTAGCTTCTTACTAGGTCTTACCAACAGGATTTAAGGGGATTGGGTGAGAGAAACAAATAAGAAAAACAACTTCAAAAACAACAACAAATCAATTTCTCCTCTTTCCCCCTCAAAAAACTGAAGCAGGAAACCTCTTGGCCCTTTTCTTTAGTTAAAGCTTTCCTGTGTTAAGTTGGATAGCCCAGAGAGATCCCAAAAACACTTGAAAATCTTTGCTATTTTATTTTTTCTATAATTAAACAAATACTGCCTCAGGTATGCATTGAATGCATTCCTCCGTATGTTGTGGTGATTAAAACAAGTTCTGCAGAGTACTAAAGGTGGAGTATCTTATGAACAGAGTGTATCCAAATTTGTTTTGCATCCCCACTGTCTTCTTTAATGATGCTCATCAGTCTCTTGCATATTTCAGTGAGTCTATTTTAAGATGTGTTGCTCCAGAGAAACTGCCTAGATTGGCAAGGAAATGTAGCTGATGATTCTTAATCATGAGGTAGCTTTAAAAATCATTGCTGAGGTCCTTAACTGGCAGCAGAAGCCACGTGGAGCTGATGAGACGGTCTTAGCACGGAACTAATGGCTTGTGGCATTCCCTTCTGCAGCTGACATGGGGATTGTCTCATGCACATCTGAGTGTGGTTCTACATACAGTGTATGAAGATGATGCAAGTACAAAATGCTGACCGTGCTCTTAACTGGGAACTGCTCCAAAGCTAGTGCATTCTTCTGATGCCGTGAAACAATTTAAACTACTTTTGAGGGTTGGTTTAACAGCTGAAGTTCTTTAGTTTAGCACTCACCAGATAGTGAATCTGTGATATATGTTTGTGAGTCTGATGTATTGAACAGTATGTACTGTATTGCTAGCTGCCCTTTCAAATCAAAAAGCTCTAGAATCCTACATGTGAGAAGAATATAGTTGCATTATCTAGATGGACGTTTTCATATTCCCTCTGTATGTTTGCATTCTCTATAATTGCTAGACATCCTTCTGGACCTGTCTTTCTGCTCATTTTCATTGTTGGTGTACACTCTTGTTGGTGTACCTAGAAACAAAGCTTTGCAGAAGAGGAGCCCTGAAAACCTTTTGCTGCGAGTAACACAGCATGCAAATTGCAAAACTAAAATATGGAGAATCATTGCATTCCACCACCTGCATTAGTCCTGTTTCCACTTCCAGTCAAGGGTTGTGTGGGTTAATAGATGCTGTGTCAAAACAGATTTCTCAGTGTAAAGACCTGTGGGTTGGTGTTATTGTACTTGGAGGTAATTTGGCTGGTAAGATCTCTTAGGAGTTTCTTAAAAAATAGAAGCCAGATTATTTGGAATGAATTGCATATCTGAAGTGTTGGTGGTATTTTTGTAGAATTTCCAACAGCCATTAATGGAATTTGTATGTTTTGAGTTTCAAATTCTTAATTAGAATGCAGGATTGCATTCTATATATACTCGTAGTTTAGTTTGCCTTTTTCCCATTCTTTCATTTGCAGGTTTCTCTCTCTGATGGATCCAGCAGAAGCCGAATGAGTATGTAAGAAGTGTCTTCATTTTATTTTGTCTTTTGAATTACATTTTTTAAAAGCACAGTTGACTTCATTGGGAAAAATGAGAAGACTGCCTTACGGGCATCAGAAATGACAAGCGTGAAGCCAGTCATTTCCCTTAGGATGTGAATATCCATTTTCTTTTTCAGCACATCTTAGTTTTACAGAAAGAAAATGCTGAAAAATGCAAATGGGCAGAGGGAAAGCAGACACAACTCTTTTTTGAATAAAAATGGCCACTAGATTGTTACAACACTTACGGTGTTTTCTCAGTGTCTTATGTGAACTTTCTGACATGTAATTTAGTACTTTCTGCACATTTTCCTCTCATCTGAGCAATGGTTATGTACTTTTTCATCCAGGAATATTTATGAACCTGCAGAAATATGCAGTGGGGTATTTTGTTTTCTAGTGCTGAATGTTCTGTGGCACGGCTGTATACCAGTATGACCTCTTAAGAAGTTGACGTTAATTTGAGTGCTATTTTGCATGCTTCATGGTGTCCAAAAGGAGATTAGTGTGGTTTCTTCTCTGTTCACAAGAGACCTTGTGGGTAACAGATCACCCACAACTGTCTAGTGGCTTAAGTAGACAGCAGTTTGGTTTTCCAAATGATAGCTTTCCCCATAATGATAAAAAAGCAAGGTTTTAGTGTCAGCATTCCAGAAGCTGCATTTCCAAGAGTGTGCTTAATAGAGCATTAGGAGGAGTTAATAGCAAACTCGTCTGTACTCTTTAAAAGCTATGGTGTCCATCTCAAACTGACTTGAGATTTTGGTCAGTAGTTGTAATTTTAAAAAATGGGAGCCTTCTTTCCTGAACAGGTGAAGAGTTTGTTTTCCTGTAGGTGGCTGTTCCTATAGCAGCTGGTGAGTTAGACTGTCTAGATCTTAAGTGTCAGAGCTGGATTTTAAATTTCTGGCAGTGCACCAGCTCTGATGTTTCATGCATCTTATGAATGTGTGAATTTCTTTTGGTTTTCAGAGGGAAGGTGCTATACTGAGTGGCTGTGCCAATGGAATAAGGCTTTTTCTATTCTATAGTCCTTCAGCAATTTTGGAGATGTTGCAAAGAATGAAGGCAGCTTCCCAGGGAAAAGGCAATATAGCTGTGTATAGGCACTACAATGAATTGTATAGGTTAAGTTAAACAGCTAAATATGTATTAGAAGTTCTTTTGCCTTCTCTCTGCCAATAAATCTCTTCTTTAGCCTTTAAATAATAATCTTACTAAGACAGATTCATGTTAAGATTCACAGAAATTTGTCTTGATAAAACTGCTTTCTGGTTATGTGGCAGAAAATTATTAGGTGGTTTGGCTTGCTGTGTTTTCTCTGATACACATCAACAGAAACAATTGAATTATCTACAGTCTCTTTATTCTTTTCGTGTGCAGGTGGTGTTTAAGTCTGAACTGATTGTTTAAAAGACGTAATGAAGTCTGAGCCTAAGTATAGATAGATGCATCACTTATACAGCATAATATTTACTGTGATTCTGGTGTTCTTTACAGTATAAAGAAGAAAAAATGTCACATGATTTAGGTCTAGTAGTCTGTCTCCCATGCTTACCTTAATCTTCTAGCTGTTAATCTAAAATGCTCTTACTATTTTAGGAGATGGCTACGTAACGCAGATTGCCAGGAGTTGTGCTAAATACTTCACTGCTGAACGGGTTGCTCAGGTACCCTGCCTGTTTTGTTGCTATGGGAGATTGGAAGACTGTAACTGTGCCAGTGCTGTCATCAGGTAAACTGGTCATATTTTAAATTTAGTAAATGTGCTAACTCTACCAGGGTGTTGGAGTTGGTAAAGAGACATTAGGGCTTTAAACGTGAGATTGATTTAGCATGATATTAACCAGTCTAATAGTACAGTAATTTTTTTTATTATAGAAATGCTGCTGGAATGCAGTCAAATTTTAAACTGTCCTTTTAAAATTATTGTTGTGATATATTTATTGTGTTTTATTTCATTCTAGATGAAGTTTTAAGCTCTAGTTTTGTGAACAGCTATGAATAATAATTTCAGTAAAGGGATTTCATTTAAGATTTTTGTATGTGATATCCTAAACTACTAGTCCTGAATTGTTTCTTAATATTTTTGTCTTTTAGATAGCAAAAATATATTTCAATATACCTCAGAGAAAAGGATATCTCCTCCAAACATGAACTCTCAAGTGCTACACTTGTCACTGCCTTCATCCAAAAGCATGCACAGCTTTTTCAGTGCCTTCTGCACGGAAGAGAATATTGAACAGAGTATATCCTATCTCAATAGGGTAAGCCATCTTGCTTACTGGAGGCTTTTTGAAAATGTCTGTATGTCAGTTTTGGTAATGAAGATGCACTGTATTTGGAAGGCTTCTTTCTTAATGCTCAGAAGCTGAAGTTGGTTTGCAGGAGAATACATTTTTTTGCCTTCTTATATAGGATTTCAACTGATACTGTTTATCTCGAAGATTTATCCAGTTATTTATTCCACCACCTTCTCCAATTTGTCTTTCACCAGGAACTGACAACATTGGGCTTTCCTTCTATTTATGCAGAGTCCAAAGGAAAGGAATTAAACTTAATATCTATCATAAATTGCATGAATGAATTGCTTGTACTGCAGCATAAGAACCTTCGAGCTCAGGAAGAAGTAGAAATGCAGCATCTGAAACTGGGTAGTGATATGGATCACTTACAGAACTGCTATGCTAAATTAAAGGTAGAAAACAAGATGGTTTCACCTGTGTGTGTGTGTGTGTGTGTATAATGCAGTGTTTGTGTTAACAGATACTGTACTTATCAGTGAATAATTTTTTTTTTACCTCCCTAGTACTAATTTGCAATTGTACTTTTATGAATATTTTTATTTTTTTGAATTTTTTCATTTGAAAATTCCTTAATGAGGTGTGAACTCATAAGACAACTTTAATTCTTGCTTAGAAGTTTTCTTTAACGATTTCTTCAATAAACGAAAACAAATGTTGACTAGTTCAGTTCAGCTCATTCAATTTGCCTGAAAGAATATGCCCAGCTCTAGAAGATAAATTCACAATGTAACCGTAATCAGTAAAAACAAAGACCCCGTGTGGGTAACTTTTCTAGTATGCATTGTCACTCTTCTCCTTAAGTCTTTTGCATTTCTTTTTGTCATTAGATTTCTTGGGTAACTGCCCACCAAGCCTTTTTATAAAGATTGCTCTGAAGCTATTGGCAAAACTTAGGTTAAGCTTTGTTTTATGTAAATTGTCCCATTTGCTTTGTTGTGGACACAGCATGCATATCTACGTACATTATTCTATTGTTTATTTAATAGAAATGCTCCACTAAAATCATTCCCAACCCATACGTGTTACTTACTATATCCTCTTACTCCTGAGTTATAGATACTTACAGAATCCTGATTTATTAAAAAGCAATAACTGTATCTTTGTTTTTTATGAGTGGGAGTATTTCTTGTACTGGAGAATCTTAGTGCTTGGACCAGAAAATAGAACTTGTTGAGAATGCAAGGTGAAACATTAGCAGTCGAATATGCAGAAAGGCTTGTCTCAAGTGAGGTGGTTTAGCTTTATTTTATTTTTTTTTTTTTCCTTCTATATCTTTTATCCTTAGCTATTTTTTTATTGGTACTGAACTGTGAACCTTTTTTCTAGGAGCAGTTGGAGTTATCTAAAAGGGAAATAGTTGGCCTTCAGGAAAGAGACAGACAACTGCAAAGCAAGAACAGGAATTTGCACCAGTTACTTAAAAATGAAAAGGATGAAGTGAGTTATGTACATCAATGCAAATTATTACATAGATTTTCAGTGCTGATTTTGCAAGGTGTCTGGTAGATGTTCACGCTGAATGTTTTTTGGTTTTTTGCTGTTGTGTGCTATCTCTCAGCAAAGTGAAACTGACTCCTTGCACACCAATTGAATACATTTTATAATGGATAGGTCCAACTTATGATTCTGTTAGAGTGTACTACAGAAACATGTACAATTTTATGCTTTGTTTTGCTTTTGATTATACATTATTTTATGTTTTGTAAATATAGAGAAGTGAGAGGGAGCTGTAGGATTCGGTCACTTTCTCAAATGCACACAAATGGGAACACTTTTTCTTTGTTACATTGTGGAAGTGCACAAAAGGTGGAGGGTGGGGAATAGTCCATGCTCATTAAACCTGGGAGTCTTGGAAGAACCCAGAGCAGAAAACACTATCATTAGTTTGGTGTCTGTTTCCATGTGGTCTCCGCCACACTGTACCTACATACTCCTAAATTTCTTTAAATGCTCTCTTCGTTCATAAATATTCAGCAGGCAATCAAGCATTATCTGTATGTAATGAACTTCAAAAGTTCCAGCTTAAAACCTGGGGCGTGTTAAGCTAGCTGTATGTTGGCAAGGTTAAAACTGAGTCAAAATCCTTCCAGCCTATTTGTGATCTGTTTTAATGTTCTTTTGGACTGAACAGTATCACCCTCTTTTCCCATCCCGTTGTCCAGAAGGAGCAAAGAGTTTGTTATTTTTTTATGTAAACCTAAATAAGCCTAATTTAATGTTAAATTAGGTACTACATGTTATTTACTGAAACCAAAACATATCTTTCTTTTTGTAATGAGGATATTGGAGAAGATATCACACGAATTGCCAAAAAGTGTACTCAGTTCTTCTTAAGAAGGACTATGACATTATAATGTGTTCCTTACTGTGTTGATTTGTGCATAAAAGTAACGCAGTTTCCTAAGCTAAGTCTTAAGTCAGAATCTGTAGGCTGTTGTCAGTTCCTTTATCCAGAAAGAGTTTAATGTAAGCACCATTTCACATCTGTTTGTTTCTTTTTACTTATTTATTTATTTATTTTAAGAAATGTGTTTATGTTAAGCTTTAGTTGACAAAATCTGCTCTCTTGTGGGATTGTTTTTAGGTTCAGAAGTTACAAAACATAATTTCAAGTAGAGCTACACAGTATAATCATGATATGAAGAGGAAAGAGAGAGAATACAATAAATTAAAGGAACGCTTACATCAATTGGTCATGAACAAAAAGGACAAAAAAATAGGTAAGTAGAGTGCTATGGCAAATAAGTAAATTTTGTATGATGTTATGTTCATATCCCTTTTCCTCAGTGCTGAAGTACCCAGTGGAACATATTGTGAAATTTTTGTTAGATGAAATGTGTTGACTGATGTCATTGGAAAGGAAGTCCTACTCTAATTTTTTTTATCCCTCCTGCCACCCTCCAAAACACTCTCAGCTGTTTGCCATCTATAGCATGTCATATTTTAGTGAGCTGGTTAATTTGCTGAGCCAGAAGACAACTAACTATTCATGTTGTGGCTGAGTTGGTTTTGCTTTTCTGAAACCAACAAGTAAAGTTGCAAGTAAAACAGACCACATTGGGACGCTGTATCAGGAACACCTATTTTGGCAACAGAAAGTAATTTAGTATCTGCACAGTAATCTCTGGAAGCCTCACACGTAAGTGAACAAAACTTTTTACGTGTTTTTTTACTCAAATTTGTTAATACTAATTGAAATATCAGTGAGGTCAAAATAACGAGACCTTAAGTCTATTTCCTGTTTCCTTGAGAGCTAATGAGAATTGAGCTTGAACTACTGTTCTGACATCATATTTAAAATAATGTATACACAATTAAGATAAAAGCTGGAACAGAGGGTGAGGGTATTCTTAAGAAGTGTATAAAATTTGTAAGATAGAATAACATCCCCACCCTGGCTTTCCAAACACAATTTTTTTCTATCCTTGTTTATTTTACTCTTGCTTTGTTAAGCAGAGCAGCATGGTCTCATTTTGGTCTTAAGACTGAGGGGGATACTTGGGTGATGCAGTCGTTTTGACAGTAATTACATCAAAAGGTAAAAGAAGTGTCATCTGAATATGTGTGTAATTGCACGTTGTTTCATGCTTTGAAATCTCCTTTTCGTTTGTAGCTATGGAAGTTCTAAATTATGTTGGTAGAGCTGATGGGAAGAGAGGTGCATGGAGGACTGATAAGACGGAAGCCAGGTGAAATTGTAGTTGTTTTAGAACAGCATTAATTGAAAGTATTTGTTATGTTGTCACCTTGTTACTGTCACATTTCTGCTTCCAGAAATGAAGAGCAAATGTACAAAGTTCTGCTAAATGACTATGAGCAACGCCAAAAACAACTTTTATTGGAAAATGCTGAGCTGAAAAAAGTTCTTCAGCAAATGAAGAAAGAGATTATTTCACTTCTTCCACCACAGAAACAAAAACCTAAAGAAAGGTCTGAAGATGGGCCAGTAAGTAGTCCTCTGTTAAGCTTAAGTCTTTGATAGTTTGCAATGCTGGAGCCATCTGATTATTAAAATACTTCTTGGAAGGCTTGCAATGGAAGGACCTGGAAAAATCTTTTCAGTATATAAGGGTTTTACTTTTCTTTGGTAAAACAAATCTATATGCGTATTTAAATATATATTTTTTGAGTGGTAAGATGGCTTGCAGCAGGCTTTGTTTCTATTTCTGCAGGTACTTTCAGACTTGGAGGAGGACACTGGAGAGTTAAATAAAGAGAATATGTGGGAACTGTCATGTGAAACTGTGCGAGAGCAGCTTACCAACAGCATTAGAAAACAATGGAGAATGTTGAAAAATCATGTTGAAAAGCTGGATAACCAAGGTGATGTTTAACTCTTACACATACACATAAAGTGCTGCAGATAATTCCATGTGGTGTCATGCTCTTTGGACTTACGTTACTGTATGTCTAATCTAAGTGGAAGCTGAAATGGAAAGGACTGTGACCTGGTAGACTTCCTGAAAAGACTTGTGTTTTTCCTTTTCTTTGTGAGTTTAAATTGTGGGAAGTTAGGAAAGCAGTCACCTTAGCAATCATCTTTTATCCTGAGAACAGACACACTGTAGTTTGTCAGAGTAAACAGCTTTCTTCAGAAAGAATTTATTTTTCTTTTGGAAGTACATGCTCTGTAATATGCAGGTCACTCCAAAAGTAACGCTCTCTATTTATTTCCATGGGAACTATAACAGATACAAAGATCACAATAGCACTATTTAATAGAGTAAATTCTGACCTGCATAATGGCATTTTTTTCAACGCAGTCGCCATCATTAGCTATGTGCTTTTGTCGGCAATGAACAAGAGCCTGTTGTCATGCTTACAAAAAAAAACAACAAAAAAATCTGCGTTAGTGGAGGTGACATGCTGTTATCGCTGCTGAAGCACACCACACACCACCTTGCTTTGCTCACATCCACTGTGTTTGGTCTCCGTGAACATTCAGCAAGCTTTTAATTTTCTGCATGGAGGAATTCAATGACACACCTTTGCTTCGTATGCATTTCCATGTCAGATGCCGTTACTGCCTTTCCGCTGCCATCTGTTACATGGCAACAAAATGTAATTGAATGCTGGTGGGAAAGTTCAGCTCTACTGCCATACCACCATTGTGTGCCTCTGATGTCTTAGGCCAACTTAAACAGGAAACATTATTTTCAGAGCATCCTTTGTAAATGCTGGTTGTATTTCCCCGTTTGTCTGAGCTGTTCAAGTAATTGCAGATATTCAGTTTCTTTCAAATTGTGATATGTGATACATAGATCCTTAGAGTTTGAGCTTGTCACAGCCGTATCTACTGCTTCTGCTGGCATTCTAAAATGAACTAGTTGATGGTATGGTGCTGGGCTCTCCTCGTTTCCAGCTGTTAAACAGCATTAAAAGACAGCTAAAAATATATAAAATTCTTTCCTAGTATTATTTTCCAGTGTAAGCAAATGCTGCTGCTACAACAAGGATGTTTGCAGTCAGGAATAAGAGTGAGAAGGTCATGAATGTAGTTGCAAATAAAAGAGCAGGTGGTCTCTGGTATAGACATATTCTCATAGAAAGGATTTTAAGATCACTTATTCTGAGTAGTACTTGACTCAGTATACTAACCAAAAAATAAAATAATTGTGAGCATCAGGAGAAAAGATTCAAGTATTTGCAGTTTTCTTGGAGTCGCTTTTTTTTTTCATTTTTGAATTTATAGAGACAACCATGTTCTTAGTGTTTAAATACTGTCATCAGGGGATCAAAACTTGGCACATTGCAAATGCTGTGGTAGTTGTATCTTTGTACAACCACACTGTACCTCACACATTTTATTCCTCTGTGATTCATTCCCTTTCTGGGTTAAAAATGTGCACACAGTGTTCCAACAGTTAGCTCTGTTTCTCCTTCGTAGAACATGAGGAAAAAATCTTTCCTTTTTTATCTATGATATATATAGTTACTGCCATACTCTTATGAACATACAGGCCCTTCAGCAGTGGGCTCAGAATAGGCTAACGATGTACCGCTGGAAAGAAATCTTAATTTGTCTTGATTTTCTTTTAAAGAAATGCCAAACCAAGTTGTGGTGGCTTTTTTTTTTTTTTTGGTTAGTTGTGTTTTTTTGTTTGTTTTTTTTGGTGGTTTGATTTTTTTTTATTATTATTATTTTTTTTTTCTGTGCAATGCTGTTGCAGCGCAGACTTGTGCTTTACCTGGAGAAATGTAAAATCTGAGGCAACATTGTAACATTCAGCTCAGGAAAAACAACAGTAGTGCTTAATTATGTGTGTAGCACCAGTTCTGGATCGTTTGTCCTGATAATAGTAATTCTGAGTGCATGGTTAATGTGTCTTTTGGAATGAAACTATTACAGTTTGAAAATCTTTGCTATTGCTTTGAGTCCTAAGTGTTGCGAAGAATGATTTCTAAATAACTTTTTTCCCATTTTTCCCCCTCCCTTAGTGTCACGTGTGCATTCAGGAGCTTTGAATGACAAAGATGTAATCTCAAGGGAAGACCATGAGCTGGAAACTGAAAAACTAGAGTTAGAACTTCAGCAATGTAAAGAAATGATCAAAACTCAGCAACAACTTTTACAGGTAGCAGGCTTTAAATTTTGTTATTTTCAAGACCTTTGAATTATTATTATTTTTAATGTCACTTATTGCTCACCTCTGAGTTTTTCTCCTTTTATTGACAGTGCTTTTTAAATAGGATGTCTTGGTGATTGGTCTAAGTGGGCTGTTCAGTTGATTAGTAATTTAATGAATTTGTAACCCTGGTAGGAGAAATTCTGGGAGAAGTTAATAGACAGAAAGACTGATGAGGCCAGAGGTGTTTTGCTAGCTGCTTGGAACTCTGCCGCCACCAACTGTGTTGCTCATTTATCAAACTTCAACTGTTTTTTGATGTAACTTAAATCTGTGGAAATTCTAAACAACTTAATAGTCACTCCAAAATTATTGTTTCTGTATTTAAATCTACAGCAACAGCTTATGTCTCCATGTGATGATGACACCACTCTGTTACTACAGGACTGCTATCTTCTGGAAGAAAGAGAGCGTCTTCAGGAAGAATGGAGACTATTTCAAGAACAAAAAAAGAATTTTGAGAAGGAACGAAAAAGTTTTACAGAAGCTGCTATTAGATTAGGACTAGAGGTATTAGAAAAGTGGAAAGGTATTAGAAAAGGAACTCCTATGGAAGAGAGTATAATAATAACTCTAATACACACTAAAAACTGCCTGATACACATTGTCTGCTTATATCTCTATACAGAGAGCTTGTTCTCGTACTGTGTAAAACAGCTCTGGTCATTGCAGCAGATCATTCAGCTTAAAACAAACAAAACAACAAACATCACATTATGTGTATTGGAATATGAGTTTGCTGCAACTAGGTGAATCATTTTTCTTGCAGCTTTGGAAATATCTAGGTACTTCTGAAAGATCAGTCTGCTTATTCATTAAATCCTTGATTAGAGGCTGTTTCAATTTAGCTTTCTAAGACAGCAAGGCTTATGCAAATCACTGTCAGATTGGGCTGCAGCATTGAATTCTCAGAGTCTAGATTTTCATGGAAAGCAGTTTTGCAGAAAGCCAAAATATATCTTTGCCTTAGTAGGGCCATTTTGTGTTCTTGTAGTTAATCTGGCTAGTAAACAGACTTAAGGAGGGAATTGGGTTGGGTATTTCTCTAAATGTGCTCTAGCACATATCTTTTTGTTGGCCAATAGTTAGGATCAAAACATGAAGACTACAAATTTAGCAGGGAGGAACGTGAAAGGTCAAGAACATAGAATATTTTGAGTTTTATTGAGGCACTGGTACAACAGTAGTTCACACAGTGACAAATATTGACTCAGGCCATTACATATGTAATCATGCATTCTTCAACTTTTTCATTTTCTTTTACTTACATTTTATTGAATTCTTTAATTTAATGTGATCTTGAATTTAGCTTTGTAATTTTTGATGGATAATAAATGTTTGTTCTGAAATACTTAAGACCATATTACAACATAAATGTAGTTACCTGTGCTTTTGAATATTAAAATACTTAAATTTGAAATAAGTAAAGAGAAAGTTGAAGCAATCCTGCAAGCCTTCATCATAGAGTGATTGGAAAAGGAAACATCACCTTTCTTTCTGCTCAGTTTTTTCCATGGAAGTGATCAGTGCTATTTTCAATGTCACTTGTATTTGTTTATGAGAAAGCTGAGGACTAAGATTGAAGCAGTAATCCTTATTAGCAACTGCCTAGAAATTAGAGGTATCTCCATGAGTTAGTGCAAGACTTGGGGGGCAAGGGGGAGCACAGGAGACAGTGGTAGGACACTGTGCCACTGGAGTGGAGAACAGTGAAATGAAAGGATTATTCAGACCTCTGAAACAAACCATGGGGTTTGGCTTGTAAATAAATACTTCCTCAGCTAATCCTTGTTGGAATGAAAAGCGTGCTTATATGACTGTAACTCTTTGTTTAACTGTTGGCTCACCTTAGTGGCATGGATATTCCATAACTTTTTATTTTTTTTTATATGGAATAACGTAAATTTAATGTGGACTAAGCTTGTTTGTGTGGTCGTAACTGTAAACAGTCATTTCTTTTCCTAGAGAAAAGCATTTGAAGAAGATAGAGGAGCGTGGTTGAAGCAACAGTTCTTAAGTATGTCTACCGATTACAAGCACTCTGAAAATGTGACAACTCCAAGTGCCTTCATAGGAAGCAAGTATTTGGTTCAAATTATGTTACTATAATATGCTTTTTCCTTCTTTTACCTGTAAGATGGTTAGGATATAATTCATTTCCATAGTAGAAAAAATTCGTATTTTTAGGAACAGATCTTTTGTCTTGTTGCCCATGAAGAATGAGTTGATTTTAATGATCTTGAGCAACTTGTGAGATTTAAGCTGTATACTAAAGCTACTGATTTATACTTATCTTTTTTCAAATTCTGGTGTTTCTGGCTATATTTATTATTATTCCAGTCATGCTGTAAGTTGGGAGGAAAGGTGTTTTTTGTTGTTGTTGTTTGTTTGTCCTTTCTTTTTTGATAGAAGACTTAAATCTAATCCTTCAAATGTTTTCAACTTGAGTGTCATCTAACTGATTTATGTATGCCTTCCAGCTTCTGACCAAGACAATCGGCTAGTGAACTCAATGTCTCAGCAAAGAAAACCTCACTGTATGGTGAGTGGTCCTGTTTCAGCTGAATCCTGCCAGACTTCCCAGTGTATTTCACATAACAGGTATCTCAAATGATGTTGTGGATGGTTTCTGTGGTTTTTGTTTGTTTGTTTGTTTTTCATGGTGCTGAACTCTATGTAGAGCAGTGAAACTGTCATAACTTACAGAATGATCTTATCTAGGTCTTGTGATTGATATGTAGAAGAATATGTTAAGCATCATATCATAACTGTATTGTGCTTCTCTCTGAAGTGTAATTTGTAACTGCATGTGCAGTTATTTACGCTGTAACTTCATCTTTTTACCAGTTTCAATGCTGCATTAAAAAAACCTGCTGGTGACAGCGAGCCAAATCAGTGGGAGGAAAGTGAGAAGGAAGAAACTGAGTAATGCACAGTCCCAGGAAGACTCTGAAGCTGGCACTCTGCTATGTAGAAACTTGCACATAGAACAACTGCCTTAGACTTCCTAGGGTTGCCTGCTGTTTTGTTAGAGATGTTCATAAACTTACTGTTCTGAAGTGTAACAGGATGCTGTGAGTTTGATCATTCTTCTGAAGGGTTATGTGGTAGGCTGAGCTGTGATGTGTATGTATGTGTGTGCACATGGCTTTTAATTTTTTTAGACCATTTCTTGCCTCTTTTTCTTGCAGCTCTTGAAAGATGCTTATTTAAAAGTATATTAAAGCTTTGGTATTTTTCTAGTAACAGAAGCTGTGATTCTGTGAATGAAGCTATGGTCTGAAACTTTGGCTGTAATGAAATACTGGATCGTAATGTTTTTTTCATCACAGGCAGATAGCACTTTTAGGAATGGTTTAATTATTGGAAACACTCATTATGAGAAACATCTCAAGCATAACTGGCATTAAAACTTCTTTTGCCTCAACTTGAATGTACAGTATACTGTAGATTTTTAACAAAACAAGTTCTATATTTATTAATTTGTGTGATTTGAAAATACCTCTTTGATATTTCAGATGACCTAAAGCGCGAAATCTTTATATATTTGTAAATAGACAAAATGATTATGCTGAGAAACCATGGAATGAAATGCATACATCCATAATATTATTTTACGTGGTATTTTAAATTGTTTTATAGTGATACTCTGTTTACAGATGCATTAGGACTTTCAATGGTTCATCCAGGAATAAAATTATTTCAAATGTAAAAAATAAACGTGTACGTCTGTTTTAAGAAACTGGTTCAGTGGTTGATGAATGCAAATTTTTCTAAATTACCATGGTAGTAGGGCCAAGGTTCACCGTGTGTTTGATGCTAGTTTTGTTTTGCTTATTTTTCATTTTAGTGGGCTCCAGAATTTTTGGTGTAGCTTTAGGGAAACCTGTTTTGTTTATAACCTTCTAAAAACAGCCGTGTACAGATGAGATGTCTCCTTCCCTAGTCAATTCATGTACTTCTCCTTGTCCAGTACGTGTCCATCTCTTCTGTTTTGGTTGCTCAAGCATTTGTTAATGTGTGAGTACAGCTCTGGCCCTAGTCACATTAAGCTTTTGGAATGTGCCTAAGAAACTTCTGCACTTCTTCAGGTCAGTGGAAGGAAATTAACTCTGAAACCTAGAATACTTCACTGATGTTGTGTTGCTGCTCTGCTCTTAATCCACAACTGGATGTAATAGATTGAGCGGGATACTGGAAAAAATAGCAGTAGAATAACAAGAAAGGGAAACTGGAATTCTCCAAGGAGCTGTGGTAGGAAGTTTTGGAGTTTTTGCTGATTAGCTCAGTGTGTTGAGCTTGATTTGAAATAGTAGTCAGTGCAAACTGCAGGGAATACTTGCTGTGCAAGAACTACTCCGCGTCCATAAAGAAGCAGAACTGTATATACTGATCTTGTTGGTTAGCACTTTTTCTGCATAGGCAACCAGATATGGAAAACAATACAAATATCATCCCATTGTATTTATTTTTAAAAAGGCTATTTTAAAATGTATTTCTCCAGTTCTCTGTCATTAAATAAGTGATCATTACTCATAAGTTCTGCTGAACTTACGCCTTCCGCGCAGTACTGGACAGAACTTGCATAAATATTAGTCATGAAAGAATAAAAACCTGTGTCTAAAATTAGACATTAGCTGAAAAATTTAAAATACATATTGATAACAGCATGAAGCTGTGTAAAGGCAGGTACAGGCTGAGTATGAGGAGAAGGTGCCTCACCAGAAAGGAAGTTGGGTGCTGGAACAGGCTTCCCGGGGCACTGTCATAACATCAACTGTTGGAGTTCAAGTAGTATTTGAACAGTGCTCTCAGACAACAGTTTGAGTTTTGGTAATCCTGTGATGAGGCAGGAGATGGGCTCAATCCTTCTGAATCTCTTCCAACTCACGATTTTCTATGATTTGAAGAGAGAATTTACTTGCAAGATTCTTATTTTGAAACCAGTTTACTCAAGATCTGTAAATCCATAGTTGACACGTGCCACTGTGAGTTGAGGATGCCACTAGGGGCTGCTGCTGTCCTGAGGTTATTGCTCTCTAATGTTTTCTGGAGGCACTTAAACATGTTCTTGCTGCATGCTTGGACTATTCTACAAAGCAATTTTTCTCAATGATCACTTTTAGGATAATAATTTTGAAGAGCAAAATAATATATTCACTTATTTAATCTGTTGTGCCTATTGAACGATTAGGAAACACGTTACATTGTACTAACTTTTTTTTTCTCTCTGTGACTCATATCATAGAAGTGGAAATTTAATTGAATGTTTGTATGGTAGAATCAAACTGTGCTAGAAGTATGTGTGCAGTTGAGTCCTGAGCTAGCCTCATGGGCCTGGGTACAGGGTCAGTTCCTTCTCTGTAAAGAAGGAGAGCACTGCCTAGAGTTTTTGGATTACTCTGTGCAGTGATGAGGAAGCTTCTAAGTGTGCAGCTGCTGCTGATAATGGTGTGAGTGTTGCAGATCACCTGGATGGTATTGTGGTGACGTTGTTTCCACCATGGTGAAGCATTAGAACTTCTGGAGCCTACTTAATCAGAGACTGTTGAGGAGCAGAGGGGGAGACTGCTCCCATGAATGCTGTGCAGGTGTGTCACTACACAGAGGCGTCTATCTGGGACAACGGGGCAAGTGGCCTACTTAAGAGAGAGTGCTAGTGAAGATGACATGTACAGTACACCTGTGGGTGATATTGAAAAGATGAATGGTGCTCTTACATTCTCTGTTTTATTTCACAACGTCGTTAAATATAACATGCTTTGTGTGCTGTTATCTAGACTTCTTTTTCGATCTACATAATGGGAATGTGTTTCTACCATAAATTCAAGCTTAATTGGGTAGAAGTTATTTTCCAGGTTTAGTTTACTTTTGTTAAGCTTTTCATTTATTTTCTTTCTCTGAGAATGATACAAAATAGCTTTTGCAGACTGCACAGCAAAAAAAAAAAAAAAAATTAAAAAAATAAATGAAAGCTTTGCTTATGAATTTTTTTCCCTCCAAAACAGCCCCCTTCCACGTTTGAAGTACTGCTTCTAGTAGCTGCTGCAGATTTGCTCTATGTAGATGCAGCAGGACAAATACATTCCTACATGTGTGAAAAAACACAGACCATATTCTTGTTCTTCTCAGAGGTTATGGTGTATATATACTTTAACTGGGCCAAGGAAACTACTTAATAAATCTCCAAATAATGCCAATGTAAACAGGTTATTTTTGAATGGAAAATATTTCTGGGTTTCCAGGACAAGGAGAATGCTGTGTGCATTGAATTCTACTACTTGTGTGCACTTGTTTTTTCTTTCTTTTTTTAATTTGGAGTTACCATGAAGCTTTTGTGGGTGAGACATGCTTACTTCTTTACCATCACTCCCACCAATTTAATCTGGGAGGCAAGTAAGTGACAAAGAATGAAAGGAAGTTGTAGTGGATCCAAAAACTGATCCTTGAAAGAAGCATTCAAATTGTTTGAGTTTACTTATTATCTGTTCCAATATGTCTGGTCTCTTGTGTTCGCTGTTCCTATCAAATCTGCAGTTTAGTTAAAGCATGAGTCCACAATGTATGCTATGTTTTACTTTTCACATTGGCATTGTACTCATATTCCTTTATTCAGGTTTTTGTTAGTAGCTTTGGATTTCTTTTATTTGTGCAAGGCTTACAACTTAATACAACATATAACTTTGTTATAAAGAAAGGGTCAACTATAAAAAATAAAATCAGTTACAAATATAGAGAAGGGCTGGCCATGCACTGTTGTGAACAGTTTACCAACTGAGGCACAAATTACACTTGACTGCTTGAGCATAAATTGATTGTGAATCCCTGCAACAACAGTGTAGTCTTCTGATGTGAATTCTGTAGCAGTTCCCAAAACAGAGGTAGGAGAACTCCAAGTGGAATTGAAGTCCAGATGAAATGCAGTTGAAAAAGTCAACAGCTGTGGGACTGACAATCCAGAAAGAGCAGTTACTAGCAACTACTGAAATAGAAAATGTACTGCGTTGTTGTCATAAAAACACTTTGCCACAGTACACTTTGCTGTGGTAAGTCCTATTGTGGGAACAGAAAGTAACCAAAGAACGAATATGTCATAGATTTTGAATTAGAATATAACTGAGTGTTTTCATGTGATTTGAAGATCACAATTTATTGCTGGAAGCTGTGCCTCCAAAAACATCCTCCAGTGCAGAAGATCATGTGCCCTTGTTCTTGTTGATTTAACTGCCACCCAGCTTGCTTTGGAGGACTAACTTTTTTGTAGGGTTGACAAGAACCCATTGATTCTCTTAATTCATTCTTTATCTCCCATTTCTGAGGGTACACGATGAGCTGTTCTCATGCTCCTGACGCTTCTAGAATAGAATAACAGAATGGCCTGGGTTGGAAGGGATCTCAAGGATCATGAATCTCCAACCCCCCTGCCACAGGCAGGGACACCAACCTCCCCATTTAATACCAAACCAGGCTACCCAGGGCCCCAGGCTGCTCTGGGCGATTTTGTGAACTGAACAGACAATTCTGTGAATGTGTTCTTGTGTTACCAATACAAATCACCGTTAGTGATGAAGTTGGCTGCAAGCCTGCATCAATTCAGGTACTTGGCTGCATTTTGTATTTAGTTCTGTAGTGAATGCGAAAGTTCTAGCTGACCTGCACTTCTGTCCCTCTTGCCTTGCTGCTGAGAATCTGTGCAGATTTTAATTGTTCACATTTTGCTGCTATTTACTTTGGAAGATAAAATATTTACAGAATGATTATGAAACTTTTGTTCATTTAAAAATATTCCTGGTCAGTATGACCGGAGCTGAAAAGGACACATTGATCCTGTGACTTCAATAAATACATAGATTCCGTATGTTGTTTCTCAGTAGCCTCGTTAAATCATGCGTGTCGGTGCACATATGAATACATAAATAGCAAAGGTTTATCTAGCTTAGTCTCTGGCCTACAGAAATGGCCATAAACCAAAGCTAAGAGAAGAGGGAGCGCACAGTCAATGTAGGTGACACTGACTGCTAATTGGGTTATTATCAGCTAGATAACAACTTGGGTCAGATGCCAGGTCAACATAACCTGGGCGAAACCAATCTCATCTGTGGCAGGACCATGTATCAGCAGCCAGCCATGACCCAATCTAGGAAAGCAAGTAACACATCTATTTTAAATTTATTGTAAATGCTGAAGTAGGAGTGTTTTATAGTGAAACATTGAAACTTCTGCTCAATCAGACAAAGGTTTTTTATCAGAGATGCCAAAGTAATACTTGATTTTCTTTACTCCCTGTGAAGAGAAGTTATGATTGCAGAAAGAGAAGTGTTTACATAAACTGATAAAAAACTTGAGAATTCAGCAGAAAACAGCCACGTGTTCTTGAACATTCTTCCATAAAAGTCTCGCCGTGCCTGGCAGAGCCCTATTCACCTTCGCTATGAGGGGGATCATACTGGCACTAGTGCTCACCCTTGTGGGTAAGCTTATGCATCCCTTCTTCATTCTTCTTCCCTGCTATTTCCTTGAGTTCACTGACAACAACTGGGTTTAGACCAGATATAACTCATGTGGTTTTTCTATCTCTTTTTGTAGGCAGCCAGAAGTTAGACATTGGTAAGTACATTTTTACCTATCAATTTGGTGACTTTGTTATATGTCTATTCATTAGAATATGCTTACAGCTTTTGTATAAATGGCTGTTATTCCCCACAGACCCAGGATTCAGTAGCAGGAAGAGTTACCTGTACAGCTATGAAGGTTTTATGTTGAATGGGCTTCAAGAAAGAAGTTTGGGCAAAGCTGGTGTGCGCTTGAGCAGCAAGCTAGAGATCAGCGGGCTATCAGAGAATGCTTACCTCCTCAAGGTACTGACCACATCCTGTTCCAAACATACCAACCAGTACTGAATTTAAGTCATGTTCATTTACTTGTGTTTTGATCACCTGTGTTCTAAGAAGGCCTATGGGAACAGAATTGGTAACTTAGCACTGTAGGTTTCAGGAAGGTTTGCAAACTGAAGTTTCAAAATTGAGGAGTGATTTACCATCCAATTGCTTACGTGTGCTTGTTGTGAAAATTATTTGTAGCAGGGGCTTCTCGTATGCAAAGTAGAGGTGTCAGTACCAGGGATTCTGTTACAAAATGTTTATTTCTAACTTAAGGCACTTAAGCTTCCTCTGATTTTAAGATTTTATTCAATTTTCAACAAATTTTTCCAAGTCCTGTGGGGAGAAAGGACTTGGGTATGTAAAATGCAGCCACACAGATGTAAGGTCATGCAGGTAATTAATGAGCATAGATTGTGTTTACACACTTGGGAAAAAGTGTGGAAGGCATCAAAAAGGAAATCTCTCAGGGGTTTTAGAAGAGCTGTAGAACTTCTGTCGTTAACGATGGTAAGATACTAAAATTATGAGTTAGGGATTGTACTTCTCACTGTTGTCTTCATCTTGAAATTGTTGTGTTAAGTGCCCCAAAGTGTGCTCAACTTGCAGTAACGTCAACAGAGTCAGTAAAATTGCTTCTGATTTCCCCCGTGTTTCTGTACATAAAAGGAAACGAGCAAATGAATG